TCAATACATGCTCCAGCAGTCCACCCTCAGCATTGCTTTTGGACATTCAACCTAATCTTGCAATTTACCACCCACTCGCGCTGGTTGGCGATATAAATGTCCCTCGAAGTTGATACGTATCGTGATTTCTACGCGACCAGGCCCAGCTCGACGGCGATCGTCTCATTCGTGCGATTCCGAGTGTCCTCTCAAAGCACTCTTGTGCCAGTGACACGACGAGAGTGGTTGGCGACAGAATGAGTGGCGTCTGCACGACCGTGAGTTCGCGAAAACACTAATCCGGTCGACGAGTTTTAAAAGAAATTGAGTTCATAACTTACTCAGTAAAAGGTTAAAGAGGAAGGAAATTTCCAGCTCCTCAACATGAGTGAACTTGCTTGGTGATAAACCATCACTGCACATGTTTCAAGCCTCATCAATAGCCTATAGTCACGAAGCGATCAGAATCAAGCGCTGAGCGTTGATCAATCCTTCAGAGATGCGAGATGCATTCGATTTCATTGAGTAGCATAAAGGTGACTGGATGAACCTTAATTCTATATAGATATGTGGATGGCTACTGATATATGAATAGTGCTTTTATCCTCGTAGAAGAATCTAGTGCCAATTTTCTTTCAGAGGTATGGAAGCCTTTGTTTGTCCGAGGCGATAGTTGGAGCTAACGAGCAACTGTGTTTGCCAAGTACCTCTAAGCACTCCGCTAGATGACCCTCAACTCACTCGTTTGACTTTCCATATTTACAAATTCGTACTTACCATAAGTAAGTAGCGACTTATTCAATAGTATAAGAAAGGCAGTTACGCCGATTCAATTTTCTTCCAGATTGTGCAATTATTTCTACTTAACCAGTAGCCGACAAAAGGATTACTGATTAAAAAATTCTAAAAAATTTGCTGTGTGAATGAAATTTTTGAGAAAACTTAGCAACGAGAACGAATATGGAATCCTTAAAATTGTTCAGCTAATTATGAGACAATGTGATAGCTCCGTAGACCGTTCGAAAGTGTTTTCTACAATGCCCTGCCTCCCCTGTTGCTTTACCAGATCGACCATTGTTATCTCCTCTATACATTGCTGGGTTTCTAGAGAGGTTGGTGAGAATAGGTATTCCATAACAAGTAGATTCCCAGTGCCGGGTAACAAAGGAAAGGCCAACACTAGGAAACGTTTCCTTTGCAAGGTGACCCTTGAATGAGGTGCCCTCCTCGTGTTCGGTTAAGAGCGGCAACAGGAGAGTTGCGAGGTCGAGGAAAACACGAATCAAGGGTATTCAACCTTTCGCATCATATATATATATATATGTATTCGAGGAAATACGTGGTCCTTATTTTCAATGCAATTCTTTTCGGATATTAAGAGTGGATTACAGATTCCCCATTAATATGTACTACGATTTCAAAGCAAATACAGTTGAGATCGTCAGTATGTGGTTTCAACGAAGTGGTGAGCTGCTTCACTTTGTACTCGATATTAACGGCTTGATTTTTGCAGAACCAAATGGAAGAAGCGGAGCGATAACGGGGACAAATGGTTTTTCTTCGTTATGACAAGAATTTTTGAACAGATAGTACCTATTTCGGCTTTTACTTCTGAGTGTTTCTGTGTGTAAAGACACTGTTTGGATGAATAGGATATTACCATTGTTGTTTTTCTGAATGAAAAAATAGAAATTCGAAAAAACAGAGGAGTGTTATTTACCAAGCAATTGGCTCGACATCCGTTCTGGCCCCACCAACCAAGTCCTCTATGACGATCCATGTGCTTAAACACTTGTCTGCGATAGGCAAAACAAAATGCTCTATTGTATTCTTATGGCACAGGCCAAGTTCATGCTGCTCGCCAAAGCAAGAGACTGGTCATATCAGAAATCCTAGCCCTATCCTTTATGTTAATTTTTATTACCATCTTGGTTTGCAACAAACAACATAATCGCTCTAAAAATATAAATATGCAGATTCTTTGAGAAAAGCGATAGTTCACGTGATTAAAGAGATTTGATGAAAGGTGAAACACTTAAAGTAGAAAGAAAAGAAAAACAATGGGACTGTGGGAGGTGAAGAGTCGGTCATCGTCGTTACAAATCAACTTCAATAACCCAGAAAACAAGTGCTCTGTTCAAGTTCCCTGAAGAACCACAACCTATGAATCTATTACCCTATTAAAATGTGACAGTGAAAATTTCTACGCAAAAGAGAAAACATATGACTATTCGTCCGAGCTGCGAAACGCTTCCAATAATGTCGTCAATAGGTGCTTGTCGTGGGTGGGCGAACCACAAGAGAAGATCAGAAATGTGATATTTGGTAAATGACAAATTGATAAAATGCAGTTTGGTGGATTATGTGCTGATGGTGATGGTGTTCGCTTGTGAAGCACCGTATTACGCTCGCTGTCATGTGTGTGTTCATCGGCGAGTTTCCCAAGTTCATCGCTCAATAGCGGAGAAACTCGCCAATAAGATATAGTTCGATCATCTACTCTACCTCTTTATGAACGCTGATAAATGAATGAATCGGCTGGAACAACAGCGAAAAATCAGGGTGTCCTTCCCAAAGAACCTATCTGAATTATTATCCCAATTGACAAAAAGATTAGCGCGAAAAGCTAAGTGTAGTTGAAATCGTATCAGCGTTGCATTTCTTCGTATGTAAAGAGAAAGCAGAACTATTTGATATAGTTGTCATGACACAACACACACATATATGTATATAAGGCATCTGATAAAACCGTAGAAGAAAAACAGTAAGGAAAGTCTATAGTGTATATACAGATACGGGAAATTGCACACATCTAGAAGTGACAGATGAGTCGAAAGGACGTGTTGAGAACGACTCGCTAGAGATTCGACGCCGTGTTCGGGTTTGTCGAACTAAAACTACATTTTTCAACATCTTTACTTCAACAATTACAAGGTTGTCTTAGGTTGTTGTTACTGCTTAATCTTCGTTCACAGCTTCGCACGATGTGAAATACACCCATAGGGATGCTGAAAAATAAGCAAAACTCGGAACCTCGGCTGGAGTTCGAACCAAGGAATACCCTTATGGAGGGCTCAGCAGCTATCCACACACCAACCGACGGCGTTTCTTTTTTTTCTCTGCTTTTCCTTTTATTCCCGTTGACAGATGATTGCTGATTAAGCCGATAGAGTAAAAACATGGCAGAGAGACGTACAAAACAAACGCCTTGTTTGGCGTGACGGGTGGGATTCGAAGCTCACCTGAAGCCCCAATTTTTGCTCATATCTCAGCTTCATTATGGTTGTAATTTACGACAATACTTTCCTAATGGAGAGTTTTGAATTCTAATGCACTGTAGAATTCCACTTTCTAGCAGAGGGTTTGATTTTTTGCTTCATTTTCTTTTACCCCTGTGAATGTTTCAGGCAATTCCTTTTACTTCTACACGACTGGCGAATGATTTTTCTTTTTTTGCAACCATGTGTTAGCTTATCGATGAAAGAATGCATGCTGATAAGTTATGCTAAGGTTTACCGAAACTCGGCTTTTGTAAAGTTTTAGAGCTACTATAAACTGGTATCAACAACTGTTTGGAGAAGTGTGCGGTCAATAGCTTAACTGATTTCTCCTAAATCTTTAGGGTTATTCGGAACATGGCACCATGTTTCGCTCCAGTTGCGGTTCTATTTTCTACTCGGATGCAAATCACAGCTCACAGTTCTGGATTCCCACTCACCAATCAATGCAAATCATTTGAGGAAAATTACCTATAAAGAGTGTGTGAGTAACCGCCGTAATCATTAGCCGTTGTTTGATAATAGTTATAGTCGAAACCATTGGTGTTATCCATCAACTTGTTGATGGAAAACGCTGACGGTACTGTAAGCCCTGGCAGGCCTCCGGCAGCAGAGAAATCCGTGCTGTACAGCTGGTAATAAGGATTGACCTAAACATGGAAACGATGTAGAAAATATAAAGTTTGATAGGCTTTTAGTCTAAAAGAGTACATTTTAACGACCACGTAACACAATTTCAAGGATTTTAACAACTTATCTCCATAACTCAGACAATCGCTGCTATGCAATAAATATTTAGTTTTTTTTGTTTTAAAAGGTAATACCAGCTTGATTATTATGCTGTTAAGATGTGATTAGCTCTTCGATCTTAGACGGTAACGACTAAGTTTCTCCGTCTCTACAAGGATCCAGTTTAAATATCTGTGACTATACATGAGTGCTTATCTTTTTCAGAACAATGTAAGCGCTAAATCTGGCACCTATCCTTATACGACGGTTAGTGATTGAAATGTTGCTGGAAGAATTTTTGAAATAGTGTGAAGTCTCATGATCAAGTACATGCAAGAATTTTATATTAAAGAATTGGAAGTCGAGAGAAATAAAAGTGTCAACTTTTTGAAGAACTTCCTTATACGATGGCTTGCGTTCAAAACATGACCTCATCGGAGTTGCGATCACATTGCACCAATTATTCGCTCGACCTATCTCATTATGTAACTGAGGAGTTAAGTAAACGTACAATTGTGAAGGTGTAAAAGAGGCACAACACGTCATTCACACCCTTTTCCACCACCACATACTACTGTCTAGGAAGTGATGCAACCACGGGGCAAACAACCGATGACTCGGAGGAACGAGCCCGGAAGGAAATAGAATCAGCGTGTCCGGCGAATGAGTGCAAGCTTAGGATAGGCTGTAACATGGTGGAAAGCGTCTTGCCGTCTGTGTCAATGGGCCAAGTGAGCTCAGTTGATGTTACACAGAGGTCAAAATTGGCAGAACAAGTGTTTTCAAAGGCTCTCTGTTATAGTTTTTTAAGTTCAGGATAGACTATTTCCTTATCTTTCTCCCTATCGCAAATTTTTAAAGGAACCATATAATGAACGAGAATGCATAGAACTGGGTCTAGCTTTCAAAGTTTATGCACAGTGATGTTAATCTTGTGGACTTGCTTTTTCTGATTCACTTATCGGACATATATAAAAAAGCAAAATTTAATAAGTTGGGGGAATCTAGTAAATGTTACCACAGTTGGACCGAACGCATAAGTGGACAGAGAAACAAATCAGTTACCGTGGTAGTTTGGGATCCCAGTGGGGTTGAGCCGACGGTGGAAATAACCGATGTCGGTTGACTGAGAGACGACGGAGTAGAGAGTGAAATCGACTGCAACTGCTGCTGTTGCTGAGGTTGTGCAAGTGGGTCCTTGATCTCCTGAACTAGTCAGTTTCAAGTATAAGGACATTATCATGATTAGAAGATTTCAACTGATCTTCTGGATAAAAATAAATCTTTCAGTCCGCACAAGAGGTTTTCCGAAAAATCTGTCCTTAAAGAGCTCAAAGAGTTTTCGCTCACCTGTGAAATGTTCGAGACCGTTTGACTGAGATCCATTTTACCTTCTTCGCTCTTATAGGTGTCGTCTAGCTCTTCTTTAATTGTTGAGTTGTTGTTAGCTTGGTTTTGATGATTCTGGTTCTGATTATTGTTTCGCTGAAAGATCTTCAGATTTTGCCATTAACATAGAATTTAAACTAACGGGCTTAGTAACCCTCTAAGAGCACCTTTTTTCTTGGAGGGTCTCGCTCCTTGACCTTGAAACGCTTTTGGCGTCGGAGGTAGCAACCATTCTCGAACATATTACCGCACAACTCATGAAGAGTCCAAAATGATCCTTTTCCAGGTTTGTCAGGAGTTCTAATATACACATAACTCGGCAACATGTGAAACATCTACATTCATGAAAGAATTTTCTAGTGAAATACTCGATATCAGCTTCACCTGGCAATTTTCACAAAGCAGTCGTTGAACGAGAGCGAATGACGAATTGAATTTTGCCATCTAAAATATTGAGAAATCGAAATACTTCGACTGGTTGAAGCACAACGTTTTCGTCGTTGAGAGGTTTCATGATCGCAGCAGAAAAGAAACGAAATTAGTATATGTAGTATATCAGCAGTAAATATTTAGCCAACAATCTAGAGGATTTATGCTTTGATCCAAATGGTACAAAATCCCACAAGGAAGGTTTGAGTGAGTAAATGGAAGTCGCTAACCCTCGTCCTGACCTTTGCTGGTTCTGCCTGTAATAGGGAAAGAGATCCATAATCCAATTATAGATCTCGGAAAGTGTCATTTTATGATTGGCCGAATGCTGAATAGCCATTGTGATCAAGGAGATATACGAGTAGGGCGGTTTGGCACATCCGTAGTTACCAGTTCGTCGGATTCTTGCCTGAAGATCTGTACTGAGATGTCCTTTTCAAAGCAAAGATAGTTAGTACCCAAAAGAACTTTGCACTGCTGCGTTTAAACTCCGCTATTTCGTACCAATTCAGAACTGGTCAGTTGTTGATCGCCACCTCCACAAGACGATCCGCGGGATGGAGAAGCAGTAGAGGCAGAATTGTTTGAGAGTGTGGTAGCGTTACTGCCACCAGATGTGCTTCGACTTCCACCTAAAACAAAGGAGATTTCAAATAAAGTAGTATGTTTTAAGGAGCAGTTATGTCTCAATTTTTCCATATCTGTTTTGGGTCTAAATGTTTACAAAGAAATAACTCTTTATCGTTATGAAGCTCTGCGAAAGACATAAAAAATGCTCAAGCTCACCAATTGGTGATATTCCACCGCCGACTCTGAAGCCGGTATAAGCATTGTTCATAGGGGTTGTCGTGGTCGCGTAATTGTTGTACGGATTGTACGTGCCGAGAGTGTTCAGCGTATTGATGCCGTTGATCGCCGTCGGCCACTGATATGCGTTGTAAGCATTTGTGTTGGTCGAGTAAGTCGGCTGTACTGAAGCTGCATAGTCTTGGGTCGACATGCTCTGAAAGACCATTCACATAAAATCCATTATAGTCACTTATTTGACTGCTTATTAATTTGAACGATAATTCGGTTTCTAGGATGAGCTGAAAGTCGGCGCTACTTCTTATATGGTCGTCTCCAATAAATGAGTTCGTAAATACTAAACCGCTATTTTTATCGCTAACTCCTACTAGTGTCAAGAAAATAAATTTCTAGACCGTTTTGCACGTATTTTTATGCCTTGTGGTGGTCAAACTTGAACACAAATATCTGCTTCATAATCAGATTTTTCTTTCATATCCACTTGTAGTGCAGTGGTTAGAGGTGCCCTTCGACACACATGAGCTCTTTTCCGTGCCCCAGGCTCACCAAGCCTTTCATACTTCTAGGGAAGGTAAATTACCACCTGACCTGTGTGGAAAGATAGCAACATTGGGTCGATGCTTCGGTAGACAACCCTAAGTCATTGCATAGGTCACATATGCATTTAGCCATCTCTAATGATACTTGATGAAGTCGAATACGTGGCGCATCCCACTGGGATTGATCTTCGCTGAAAGCTTCGTCCCTCTCATTTCCCATCAATTAAATATTAAGCAGTGGATGAGGATGTCGTTTAAAATGTCAATGTGAATAAGAAAAAGTGTTAAAGGTAATCCTGTAGTTTCGCAAGTTTGCGACCATTTATTCCATTGTAAATGGGAGTAAGTGAAGATTTGAGTTGGATTTAACTGGTAACTTGCACTATCAGTAAAAGTTCTTCGATAGCTGTTTTGGCAGAATCCGTTGTGGATGTGTACGGTAAATCTGTCACTCGCTTTCTCACTCCTTTGCGTCGCGCTTCACTGTCGTGCGCTCTCCACTGCTAACTATGTTCCCTTCCTAGTACAGTACTCGTCAACGTCACCATGTGGGCGTTGTGGCTAAGTGGCGGCGTCGACCCTGTTTCGAAGCAATGCCGCTTTTCCGAGATTTTCCGTTTAGGACCAGACGCAGACGGAGGAAATTTGCAACAAACAATCGATGTGATGAAAGCATGAGAGGGAGGTTTGGCCGTGACGGCGAAAAAACCCACGATGTCCTCAAGGACGGCTAGGACGCTAACTACAAGGTATTACAGGTAGACGAACTAGCCTTATCATTGAACAACTGAGTGGAAACTGATAGAGAGGAACGTGACTATTAAAAGCTGAGATGGTGACGGTGATGGAGTACAGACATTAATGATTTGACCATCGTTATATTCTTTGTGTTTATCGAATGATTATGCTATTAAGCTGCGTTTCTTATTAGGTAGTTGAATCAAGCATCTACAAATAGAGCGTTTTTAACGGTTCCTTAAACCGATTTCGTATAAATAATCTAGCAGAGAATTAGGGATTATGAATGTCGTCTTTGGGTGTATGGTTTCCGATATCGTTCAATGGAGTAGTAGATCTGAACCTGTACACTTGCAGTTCCTTAACGGCTGAAATGCCTTGAAATAACCCTTTATCATTTAACTACAAGGAATTGATTTATGCGTTTTTTATGCAAGTCAGAGATCACTTAAGGCACACAGTTTTCATTTAGTGCCATTAGGCTATCGTGAAAGTTTTTCCTGATGGGAAAATCAGAGTATAACTAGACATTTTCTGAGCTTTTTAGCTTGTCTTACTGCGTAGTTTCCATACCATGATAAATTTCCCAAAAATATGCACCTACGAGTAATCGTGCTACATAAAAGTGACTGGACGAGTATTTCGTTAATGACAATATTCTTATTATTTGAACAAACATAGCACGAGGACATCAATAACGTTATGTCGCAGGAGCAGCTGTCGTAACAAGGCCAAAACTAACCAGTTATTAGAAAAATGCTGTTAATGGATTAATCACTAAGAATAAGAGAGGGTAAACAGTTTTTGCCAAATTTTTGTAGATATCGCCGCCATATTATAATGGGGCCGGGCCAAGTCTGATAAGTTATCTTCCTGAGTCACACAGACCGCTGAAAACAACCATGCACAAGCGTCGAGAGACTGACTTCGATCGATCACCACGAAACACTACGATGAGCTTTACTTTTTAAAATTGAACGAGAAACCACAAACATGTAATGTCGCTTGGCCTACAGTTGATGGCTGATAGAGGCTCGATGCATCAATAGTGGCCGTGCTTGACGGGACGGCCAAACTACTCGGAAGCATCCCGACCTATTATTCTGAAAAGTGCTCTTTGAAAAGACCTTTTATAAACGTATTCCAAAAGGCAAATAAGAATCGCGTAAAATAAAGAAAAAATCATAAAAAAATGACGGTTTAAAACAAAAAATGACTGCTATTTACATGCGTAAATTTTCCATTGAGAGTGTAAAATAAAGGATGGTGTTAGTAAACACAGCTGTCGATCAGAAATGGCGTTGCTGAGGCGAGTTTCCAACTATATAGATTTTTCTGTTGTCGCTACATTTAAGTTGTGACTCATGTAAGCTACAGTTTTGCAATACCCAAGCCCAGCTCTGGAATATTCCCCTTCATTGGAGCGAATCGACTGGTGATAGTTGACCTTATATATCGTGTTTCAAGCGCTCGCTCAATGAGAATACCAATTTACGCTCGGGAAGAGAGCCCTAGGGCGGTATATTGCACCAAAACGATGAGGCTATGTGATGGACTAACCGGAGGCGATATTTGAGTGTTGTGTGGCTGTTTGCTTATGCATGCTGTTTGGCTGACGAAGTAAACCTCACTTATCGACACTCGGATGAAGGAATATAGGTCCTTACTGAACATAATAGTGATAAAAAATATCTTTCAACGAATTATAGTGAAGGAATAAACAGTAGTTACGAATAGATGTGAGCGTTGTATCGCAGTTCATCCAGGTACGACACTATCACCCAGACCCAGCGATCAGAAGTAAACAGGTAAACACCACGTGATTTCTTGGAACGGTGTGCTACCTTTATCACTAGAAGCGGCCATATTTGATGGCTAAGTGTTTATGGTGAATAGGATACAAAGTGGGAGTTGGTTGAATTGTTTTGCGAATAATAATTCGAAACAAAGATTTCTTGATATCTTAAGCAACTACCATACATTTTATAGGCCATAGTAAGTTACAGACGTCTCTATCATTTTAACAACTCTTTGCTATCTACTGTTACCAAGTCGGCAATCGATGCTACAAACCTTATTTCAATATTGACACGTGTTATTCAGATCTCAAATATTTAACTGGGAGTTTGCAACAGAATGTAAATAAGTAAACAAAACCGAAATGAATAAACAGAGGCAGCTAGCCATTGGCAAAAGTGACTCAGTTGATGAAAGAGTGGACATGAACTATAGGAAAGCGAAAGGAAGTGGCGTTCCTTTCACAATGATAAGCTTATCAAAAACGCAGCAGATAAACTCATTAGCCATTAGATAACCACGAGTAAGTATCGTAATATAAAAACAAAGAAATTCACAGTGATTAGCCATAGAAAGCAAAGAACGCTGTGTGAAAAATCACTGGGTTGAGTTGATGGAAGGAACCTCGACGACTGTAGGCGCACCCCAGCACTGCACAGGTGAAAGCAAACAGTATGGTCGCGACCGAAAGCGCTGGCGAGGGAGCACGGAAGAAGGAGACTTCGACGTCAGAGTCTTCGCTGAGGTATCGCGCTTCAGATTGAGCAGCATAGTGCAGACAGGCATTGTGCAAACACTAGCCGATGGGGAAGGCAGCCCGGACGGCCGGGCGGGGTGGGTGGTGCAGCTCGACGGGGGAGTGGCGCCGTCGTGTGATTGGTCGGCAGCACGACGCTGATTAGTCGACGCTGAAAGTTCGCTGCACACACTCACAGTCATCCAACCACGTGAACTCCTTCGAGTTTTATCTCGAGAGGCCGACAGATTCTGAATGGATTTTGCTTGGAAGGCAGCTTCCAATACACTTATGCACGAGCTTCCTAGAACTCCGTTCTCATTCATCATTCGATCGGCTGGGATTTTGTACTGTTGGGAGCATCCGTGGTAGACTCAAAAATTATTAACTTTTTCGGTTAGAAAACTGATAAAAACTGAAACATGTAAGCACAGACAGAAATCACTCGAAAGCTTCCTTGATTACTTTTTTCACAATGCCTTATTATTTCGAAAAATCACCACCGTTTCATATAAATTTGGATTTAAGTGATAAAAATTCTTCAGAGATCACGAGGAAGCCAGCGCAAAATATAATATTCAAAAGGATATGCAGAATAATATCTGAAGAGATTGAAACAGCTCAGTATTCAAAACGGTGATCGGATCAATACTGGTCACCCTAATTTTGGAAACCGAGCCGAAGCTGGCGGTGATTTTACTAAAGAAGATTAATTACTACGGCAGTGTGCTTAATGCCCTATGGGTAAGTGAGCATACACCTTTATGTGAGTTGAGAAAAATCCTAGTGCAGTACATTCACTGAGTTTAGGTTAACACTCTCAACGAGGTTTAAGAGTTTGTTTTCATGCCGGTTCGTTAGTAGCGTCTCTAAGTTTGCGACCCTTCGCGACTGCCACAAAAACGGTGTCGCTGACCGGCATGGAACTTCCTCCATAAGTGTTTACTGATTTGGTGGCGGAATTAGCTCCATCAGGATATGTTTAGCTATTGAATCATGACATTCTTCCTACCAGGCATTATTCGCAGTGATTACCTCTTCATTCGTTGGTTGTGTGATTGGTACAAATTCGAAGTTATTCGAAAAGGAACTGGATGTCAAACCACATATTTTGTGAAAAGTATAGGAAATGAACTTTTGAACAGCATTACCAATTTTCTTCCAACTATTCGTAATTTGGTACATTTGCTCAGCACTCGATAATTTTTTTCCGACTACTTGATACTTAAGTGGTCCTATTTCACTAACAATGGTTCAAGCCGCTTAATTGGTAGTTATTTTGGAGGCTTTTCCTTAAAGTTCCGATTAGCTTGCCAGCGGGTTCGGTTGCACAATCCATCACTTACATAGATTCTTTGGATCAGATTGAGGTTCGTCACCTGG